TATGAAATTACAAACATCCTTAAAAATTCTAAGCATCCCACAGAATTAAACTAAAAGATGAAATAAGAATTAACATTTTACCATGGTGGGGTACATAGAAAAACAATTAAACCTTGACATATCTTTGGAATGTATAAAAACAAAATTATGGTGTGTTGTGTAAAAATATTTCAAAAAACAAAACAAATAGTAAATACAATAAAAAACCCAACGAAATAAACATGCTATTAGTAACTTTATTTTAATAAGATCGGCTTCGTTAGATATTGAAATTACTTTTGAAGTGTCGCTTTTACGAACAAATATCTCGCAATCGTTTAACCAGATGTATTTGTAACAATTCTTTTCTAAGCTTGCTAAACGTCCATATAATAATTTATTCTGGGGAGCAAGATGGTCTTTTACAAGAACGGGACGTGCCGGGTCGTCTATGTAGAGATCAGCTGTTGTCAGTCCGCGTCGAGCACGTATTGCTGCCAACATATCACTTTTCCGTTTACGTTGGGAGAACCTCGCAATTATGTTAGGTACGTTCTGTGATGAAAGGGGTCCAACGTCCTTTTCAGTGGAACTCGGGTTAATGTATCGCCTGACACGGTGAATATAATCGATATCAAAAGGAGTCATGGTGAAGCCCGCTTTAATTGCAAGCTTGGTGAGAATGTTGTTCAGATTTTCTCCTTTTGTGACTGGTACTCCCGTAATTTCTAAATTGTTAATCCTGCCCTGTTGATCTCTTAGTGATAATTGCTCCGAAACTACAAAAAATAACACTTAGTGTTAGCAAGGTCCTTTTCCAGGTCCATTAGCTTTAATTTTGTGGCGTCACTTTCTCGTTTCTGTTCTGCAATAGATGATTTTAATTGTATCTGTTCTTGCTGTAAATTATAGTTGGTTTGTTTAATTACAGAAATTTCATTTTTTATGTCACGAAAATCCTCTCGTAATTTAATCAGAATATCGTTTTGATTGTCTAATTGTGTCTTGAACGATGATCGAAGATCCTGCCGAACTCCAGATAATGTTTTATTAAAATCTTGCTGGTAATTGGACAAAGTTTTCTTTAATTCGCGGCGAAATTCGGTGATAACAACGGTAACGTCACAGTCAGGGGTCTTCCTTTTTCTGTTCGTAGTATTAATAGAAAAATCATCGTCCCTTAGAGTCGAAAGGTCAGGGGTTAATCCTGCACATTTAGCCGGTGGACTATGTTGCAGACTCATTTTTACTTATTGAGTAATATGACAAATAAAAAACACGAAACGGCGCGCACAGCTAGATAATAAGTGGGTAGAACGTTCACGGAGCATAGTACATCACACTAAGACACTAGGGAAATGTAAACAAATATTTCACAGTATTTGAACGGAATTGCACTTAGTGAGTCTTTACTGGTGTGATAAGTTTAAAGTATTAAATTCACGATATGATGCATTTCGAATGTTGTTCGTCTGAGTACAAACAACACACGTCCGTACGGTAAAAAACCTGACAATGAAAATGTGTTTAATGGTATTTAAATATGTATTTAATAGTTCTTTGGATGTTTACGAATCTATCTATATATATTTTTTACAATGAAATTTTTTTAAACCCACCGTAATTTCAAATTATCAAATTGAATGTTTATTAAAAAGAAAATAAAAAAAATTGTGTTACAAAAAACATCTAAAGATAAATTTATGCATTAGTGGTAATTTATATTCTTCTGAATTTCGGGACTAACGTATTGTTTCTTACAGCACTATTGTACGTAACTTACAATTTTATTGTAACATAATTGAATTTCGACATAGAACATTTAATTTTTATATCAAAGTATGTAAATAACGATTTTTTTTTTCAAAATTGTAGTTTACGTCAATTTATGCTTAACGCGACACGTACCGACTGTCCGGCTTTGCGACACGAAGGCAAAGTACTTTATATATTATAATAGGTTATTTTGCTTTATTGAGATATTATTTTTAAAAGCGAGTAAAACTGTATTCAGATTTTTAATTAGCTTGCAAATGGAAAAAAAAGTCATAATAATACAGGATTTTTGTGACACCGATCGAAAAGGTTAATTGTAAGGATTAATTCCTTTTAAGTAACATAGCATGTTAACTTAAAAAACACCAAGAAATGTCATGTTAAAAACTTTTCTTCCGTATCTCATAACCGTGAGACACCTGTATATTTAGTAGGCAGCATTCACAACGTTATTTACATGCCTAGAATGTATATTTAGTACTCAATTTCAGTTATTAAGAGTAATTTTTAACACTTTATGTAGTATATCTGTAGTGTTGTAGCAATTGACATTTCCTGCGTGTTATTGTTTCAATTTTTGCTTTCTAATTTCTAAGTTGATTTGCTCAGTAGTTTAGCTGTGTCAGATTTAGATTGTGTGATTTGCTTCCGCCATTTTTAAAGAGCACCATTGTATGTGTTAATGTTTCTTTACAAAATATTTCGTTCTCATCAAACAGCTGTAATAAAAAATATTGTTCTGATACTAAACATCTGAACTAAGCTAGAAAAATATAATTTAAAAACGTTCATAATGAAATGTTTTTTTTGTTGTTTGAACACAATCAAGATAGATTAAAAAAGCCCAGTTGCTTTGAATTATTGATTCCTCAGTATGCATTTTATTTATTTATAATTGATATAGGGAATAAATTGTATCATATTTATATTGTAAGATTTATGGTTAATTTATATTGACATATAAATTAACATATAGTATAGTAAGTATATTTTAGATTTTCGTAAAAACAGCATCACAATATTTTTTGTACAAAATACACAAATTTGTGTAATATTCGTGTACTAGATAGAAAAGTAAATCCTACGAGAAAACGAAAGTTTTTTTTTGTAACAAAATTATTATGCTTCGAATATGTGATCTGATCAGATATGGATAAAAATTGGTTTCATTATTTTTGAAGATATTTTACCAGTGTCGTTATATGTTATTTTGGTAGTTTATAATGCTAACCCCTAAATTTTTAGGGGTAGAGGCTGCATATGCATTGTTCTGGTGCCAGGAATCTTTATGAAGTTCTAAATAAAAGTTCGGTTGAAATCATTAGAAAATACTTACTTACCTAATCTGTCATAGATTATTTCAAGATGGCTGCCGTATGGTATGCTAAGTATGGTACTGCGAAGTCCCAAACCTAATTTCACTAAATCTTATTAATATAATATTTTAATGTAATTTCCTGGCACTAAAATTGTATTTAATGGACTGTTCATATTAACAATTAGTTTTAGGAATTTTGTACAGGACTAGTCGAAAGGGGGTGACAATTAGGAAAAAAGGGGTAAAGTTAGAATTATAACAATATGTTTGAACAAATAATATACATTATTATGTTTGTTAAAGATCTGTTGTTGTTGGTCAAGTTGGTATCAAGTTGGTACAAAATCTACGAAATAGACATCATACATAATGTAGGCTGTAGGCATTATTACAGCCATTATTGAAGGGCCATTGCATATTGCTTACTGGGGTTAATAAAAAAGGTTAAAATGAATGTTTCATACTAAATTAATATTTCACTCTCCACCTTAATTGAGCTTAATAGACATATTTGAACATCATTAAAGTCATAAGTGTCGTATATAGATAATTAGTCAAAATGAAAAAAAAATACTCCAGCCAAATTCGACATAGAATGTTTAACAACAAAACGGTGCTAGGCAACTAATATTGGTAATTGTAAATAACATCTTTTGTCAATGCTCACAGTTGGGCTAGTTCTTCCCACGGCCTGCTCGCGTTATTGGAATATGAATAAGTTTTCTATTGCTCTTCAACTGTTTCTTCTTTTATTTTTTGTCTATTCAGACATGAACATAAATTATGAGCTTATTAGACTCATATTCCAAGTTGAAATAAAAACAGAAAAATATGTCGCTTGACACTATGATGTAGGAAATGACACCCGAATTATATAATTAAATATCGCCCAAAATGTCGCTTGAGTCAATTCGCCTTTTAACCGTCGATAAAATAAACTATTTCCAGACTTGCGCGAGACCGACATAAAGCGAGAGATACTGCGATTCTCGCATAGAGATCTCGCTCTTCATGTCGCTCTCGCACAATTAGTATTAATCACCGCCATCCAGATGTGGGCCGGGATTTTGACCTTCTACAATTATGATCTGTAATATGGAAATTAGCAATCCGAGTTATTGGTCCGTGGTATTACAATAGTCTAATCGAATTTCGGGGAAAAATATGAAAAATTTTAGTAAATCTAAAGTTGTCACCTTAAAAATCATAATATTCTTGTTTGTTTGTTGACATTTATTTTACATCGAATTTGGCTAGAGTATAGGTTTATAGTGCATACTACGAATATTGGTTATTGTACTGGTACGCTTATCGTCAAAATGCTCATTATTGAAAACTTGATTGTCAATTAATCTCCAGAAATTAGTTATTTTTCGTATGTTACAATTTAAGTTGTACAAAACAAACTTACGTTTTTCTGAGCTTTAATATTAATTCTTGGTTGTATATTTTATTATTAAACTCTTTTCATGGAATGGCTTTGTGTTATTATTTTGCGATTTTCTTTTGTTTCCGTGTTTTTTTTATCATGATTGTGTTGTGTCTTATGTTGCGTTGTGTGGGTAAGTGATTGTTTATGCTATTTCTTTATTTTGCTGTTGTTGTTGTGTATTAATTAGGTGTATAGGTATAAATCATAGTTTGCTTTACTATATTGAGCACATATCGGTCATTATTACCCCGAGAAGTTACTAAAGGGGCAACTTTGCACCTGCTTTTTTTGTATTACATTTTTTTAATTGTAGGTATGCACCTCCACAAAACGTTTTATTAACTACATGTGCATTACATTGCAAATATTCTATAAAATTCTGCGTAGGAAATTTTCTTTAAAATATATAATTACTTACATATTTATTAATAGGTGTTTTTTTTATTGTCTAAAATAAAAATAATATTGTCTAAACTTTTCGTCTATTTTTTTTAGATGGTCACCCACGGCAGCGATGTGCGCATGCGCCGGGCAGAACTCGAAGCGCTGTTGGTCGCAAGCGGCGCACACCACGACAATCGCGCTATAGACAACCAATACAGTTTCGTTTAGCGAACACGATATACTGGAGTCCATTTTCACGCGGGGTTTTTGTGCTGTGTACTTGATATGTACGGCCAGGAAGGGAGAGTTCCTTGGGGATGCAACTGTGCCCGTTTTAGGGGGCAAACTGATAATGATGATTTACCCCCGTATCATAAAAGTACTCTGCACGATGATAAGTTTTGAACTAGGGAGAGGAATTGGATATTAACATTTTTTTCCTTACCGATTTTGTAGTGCATTTTCACGATTTATCATTTGCATGTTTAAAATTTAAACCATTCTGGTTTACCCTATTTTCCAAATTTAATATTTGACATTATACAGGGTGTAATGGTTAAGTGCAAAGGCTTTAGTTGACCTACTTTAAGAGGTAATAAGAAGTTTACTGATAATGAAACTGCTTTATATAAAGTAATGAAACTATCTTTTAATTGAATAACAACAATGATGTTTAGTTTTAAGTAAGTTCAAAATGTTGTATTCAAAGCAGTTGTTCGATACTTTAGTAGCCTCTCTGCGAATGTCATATTATATGTACGGAAACGTTTAAATTTTTAATATTTCTAGTTTTATTTAAAAAAGTTATTAATGTCGTTTTACTCATTAGTAATTAGGTAACGTACTTTCGATATTAGTTCAAAGGTTATTGATATATCTTATGTTTACGAAATAATCGCCTGGGCACACTTAACGGTTACACCCGGTATAGAAATCTTTTTTTTTATTCCAAAATCGTTATTGCAAGTAATAACGGCTGAACTTGACGGACAATGCAATTTTTATTGATGTTAATAGGTTTCAGCCTGTATTGCCATTTTCAAGACTCGAAATAAAGGTGAGCATCACTGATGTTACAATCCACAATTTACTTAAGTGTACATGAGCTGCATTACGACTCGCAACTGTGTGAACAAGTGAAGTGCTCTATCTTTTGCTATTTAAAACAGAAATTTCACCATTTGTCACTTAGCCGCCTTTTAGTTAGTGGACGGCAGCCAATTTTTTATTCAATGTAGTCGGAATGCAGCTCATGCACCTACGCATATATGTGTTCAATTTTGTAGTTAAATCTTGTTTAATGGAAATTCATCATTGCAACCACTTAGAACAATTTGTTTAAGCGTAATGTTTACTTTGTGCAATATATAATCGATTATTATTTATTATTAGCTTCAAGCTTAGCCAAATTTATGTACTTAGAAAATTTGTGTATTAGTATAGGACGTATGATTTAAGTATCGCTTTCGAGCTTAATTTTAAACAACATTCTAGATAATTTCGATGTTATGAAGTGGAAGTGAAATTTTGAAAGTAGTGATAGTATAATTCAAAAGCCTATTCGTTCGCTCGCGTTATACATGGTTATTTGTGAAATACTAAAAACCTCGCAGGACTATGTTACTAACATCTTAAGGTGCGTCTACGCTTACGAACCGAGCACGAATTCGTGTAATGTGGACTGAGTTATGAGCCTCGAACGAGGGTGCGCCGAGCGTTCGGCTCGTCTATGCTCCGCCAATTATCGGTTTTTTTAAAAACACAACGGCATTCGCATCTAGAGGTGGGCGTTTAAACGAACTAGAGGAGGGCGTTTAAAAATGCACAGCACAGCACGCTTTTCAATTTAAATGTAAGCGTTAACAACGTGCTTATCTTCAAGTCCCGCCATCTACGTTTCCTAAACAGATTAATTTGTCAATGTTAATAATAATAATATAAATAAAAATAAAACTCGTATTTTACAAATAAACTTAGGTACTTATCTTAAAACCTTTAGTGGTCTACTCTTTATTTTCGCTATGGACACAACGTTGCAAGCTTTTTTAACATAAAAGTCTTAAACAACAACTTTTGTTCCAAAACTTAATAATTCATCAGATTTTATGATTTATAATAATATAATAATAATAACGCACACAATCAACATAGCCCCGTACTCGGGAAACCCTGTGTCGCGGGTGCCATGGACACACACATAGACAACCACAAATTACACCCAATCTCACGAGTGAAATAAATGTAGGCCATACGAATATTTCTCCCGGCCCGGGAATCGAACCTGGGACCTCTACGTGGCAGACATGTTATATTAACCGTTCGGCCACAATGGCATTTGTTTTTAAATCTTATTTTCAATAAGGGCTGTAACACTTGGGTGTCAATGTTGTCCTTGTGAGGTTAGACCATGTTGAGTATTCTACTCTATCGTGACGCATCGTAGCGAGAGGCAAGACCTCACATATGAGTACAGTTTGAGCCTTCTTCGCCAACGGGTCACCCAACACAACAATTTAACTCCCAACCAACCTGCCAAATATCCCCTAATTGAAATTGGCTTCTTATTCCATCAGATGTAGCATATCTTCAAGTTTCTTACAAAAATTACACAGTGGAGATTCTGCTCTTTATAATAGATGATGGAATTTATTTAAGGGAAGGTGGCCAGCACGAACTCTAAAATTACAGATCTCAAAAGTGTCAGATAGCATTATTTTTTGGTAAAATTATTGTTTTGTAAAAAATCATGGAACAAAAGTTCTTGTTGATGATCTTAGTAATATAGTCTTGCAAGGTTGTTAGTATTGTACAAATAACGCGCGTCGCGTGATAGCCCTGTGGATGTTGACCCTTAGGCCAAAGTCTAGTGTACTATCACAAGTTTCAATATTGTCAGAGTACAATTTAATTGTTGGATAATTGATTGGCTACGACACAAAGGAATGGAAAACAACGCTCCAGTATAAATAAATTATGTAGGTACCTATCTAAATGCTAAATTAAATTCTTGAGCTGGTTCTTTTTATTTATGTCATTGAAATTAAAAAAGTGTGTAAAAGATAGGAAAGTCAGCTGTTGAATATTACTAGGTCTACACGGGTTATTCGCAGACAGATACTGTGGAACATCCATGTCGCCGCACACGTGTACAATGCTAGCAATGTGAAATCATCTTGCAACCGATAGTAATTACTTTTTTCACTCGCGTACTGCTGTAGCACTCGCGTACTCATGAAAGGTGGCCATAGTATAATAATAAAACAAGTATAGTAACTCCATACATAAGTAGCAACGCCGTTTGTATGTATGCGCGCCCACATAAAAATGAAAGGCGCATGTGAGGCTATGCAACGCGAGTGCATCGCGAAATTATGCAAATGCGTGCGTCCATATACGGCGCGCGACCGGCGTGCGCGCTGTTGCGTATGTATGGAGCTACCATACTTGTCTTATTATACCTCTATGCTATCGCGCGTTTCCGGCTCGTGTCTGTTGCGGTTACCCGTGTGCTGCTAACTCTATATCATGCCTAACGTGATCATACGTCCCGCTTTGACAAAACAGTAAGGCTAGCACGATAGAGCGCGACTTGCGCGAGAGCGATATAGAACCGCGAGATATTGTTATTATCTATGGGAGTATAGCAGTATCTCGCGCTTTAAGTCTCTCGCGCAAGTCGCGCCCAATCATGCTTGCCCTACAGGACACACGTGATAATAAATTTTAAGAAATGGCGTAAAATATACGAAGCCAGCCCACCAGGCTATACAAGTTTTTTTTTTGATCATTAAGCATTTTTAGTTTTCTTTAATCATTAAATATTTCGTAACTATCATAAACACACACACATGTTTTATTTTTAAAACAATAACAAATTCACGTGCGTCCCACTTTGAGAGGAAAAAATTATGGTCACGTTAGTCATGCCCCCGTATCGGTAAATATGAAGTTGTTGATTCACATAGACACATTTGTAAATCTTCGAAAAGTTGTGGTTATCGTACGATAATCTACTTCGTGTATTTTAAGGACAATTGCTGTTGTTACATCGTACATATGTTTAGTGATAATATAATTAACAATATCGAAAATAGAGTACGTTAGCATCAAAGAACTTATATGTATCGATATCGATGATAAAAAAATAATGTAAAAATGTTTTGTAATAGATATACTCGGTAACAGGCCAAACTGTCGCTTTTTCAGAATGCAAATTGAGCGCTATGGAAATGATAAATGTTACAATTATTCAACAAAGAATTTCCACTCAAATTGTGTATTGTAATAATAATAATGTACCAAGCATCCTCACCAAGTACCTGGTCACCCAGAACACCGGCCAAAATCGATTTAAAAACTTTCGTTTTTGTCGTTCTATCGAGAATTGAACCCGAGACCTCCGCATCAAGCGCCCAGTGCTAACCGCTTGGCCACCGAGATCGTCAACGCACCCCTTATGGAAGAATGGCATAAGTAGAGTTACGTGAAACTTGTTTATTGCTCCATTAGAAAAATATAACCCACATATATCCAATTCTTGTAACTCTGTCTATCATGTTAGTCGAAAGAGTTACAAGAATTGGAGAGGAAGTGGATTATATTTTTCTGTATCTAATGGAGCAATAAACATGTTTGACGTAACTCCACTTATGCCATTCTTCCACGAGGGGTGCAAAATATGTATAAAATTTAGTTAGCATAGTAAAAATTGTACTTAAAGAAACAAAGTTTCAACTTAAATTAAGTGTGCATTAGCATACAGGGGATAGCTTAAAATCCTATTGGATTTATTTGTAACTTCTTACATGTCTTTACTCAAATCTATTCGTATCAATGTATAAGTCATATATTTCGGCGATGTGGGCAACCGTAAACTAAATTAATGTTCAGTGCATCTGTCTCTTTCGGTATGAGTAGGAAAAAGACAAGAGATTTTTATTTAAGATTAGAGCTGTCAAATCGTGACCTTCGCTATCAAAGTTAACCGATTCGACTAGGTGTAAACACTGTCGGGCCACTCGGTCGCCTTCAGGAAACAACGGTCGACTAAACAAGTTTCAATTTCAACGTGTCGGGAGCTCTACCCTACCACGAAGCGCAAGGTTTTGTGACGTCTGAATAATTTATTGTGTTTGTGCGCAAACTTCTATTTTTAGTGACTTGATGATTTTATGGCAAAGGAGGCAGTCGACGCAGTGTAAACTGCATAGACCACGCCGCGTTTGTCAGCCGAATTCCTTCCTTCTTCAAGGCGAAATAGTCTGCCGAATGTGTAGATACGCCATAACAGGACTAAAACTTAATTAAATCCTTTACTAGTAACAAAAGTGAAGAATACACTGAACTTAAGTTTACGTTTGCCTGAATTGACGCCATTGAGGTAAGAAAAGACAGATTATGGTATAAAAATACATGTCGTCTAGATAGGAGTAACATCTAGTCGATCGTGGACTAGTTGATAGTACTAAACTAAAATTTAATCATCCGTCTCTTTCTTACAGATAATGAAAGAGATAGATGCACTGAATCTAAATTTAGTTTAATAAGTCTTTGCCCGAATGGCCGCCACTGTAATTGACAAGATTTAACAAACTCACGTAACGCTGAATATTTCTTCCATTAAGCCGAGTCGCCCCTACCTTTTTTATGATACGAACAGTCATG